GTGTTAACCTGCATTACATTAATAGACAAAAAAAAACACTCTATACTTTTTTTGTTTTAACAGAACGTGTCACGCCACCATGTGTTGCAGTGCTGTGTGGTATGCTGAATAGCCTTTAGTGCATTGGAGTGCCACTAAAACTGAATAGTACCGCAATGCACCAACACATGCAACTTTACCATATAGGTGTAGATGGGCCCTCAGTGCTTGCTGTCACTCTGATATTAAACATGTAGGCAGGTGCAGTTAACCTTCTCATTTGTAGGTGGCCTAGTGCCATGATTTCATGGGAAGGGGAACCTCTAAGGGAATTGGTTCCTTACAGATTCTGTACAGTGCCTTGAGAGAGGATAGTAGTTTGGCTGGACACTGAACTCTTGAGAGACTTTGGTGGCCATCTTGGCTGACAGAACCTCTTAAATAAGGGGCCCCATGTAATTTTGGTGCGCTTTTGGCAAGCAAATGGTCTGTAAGAGGAACCCGCTTTGAGGGACTGTACTAAGCATAGTGGTTCCAGGCCAAAAGGGATAGTTCAGGGCAGGCTCCTTGTTCATTGCTTACACTCTGGTTATTGGCACAGAGGCTTGGAGCCAAAAAAAGCTTCAGAGTTATCTAGTGTATATTATATTAAGGGACATTACCCCCACTAACTGAGGCCGTCCTCTGGTAACACATCTGTTTATTACTGAGACTGAATTATTCTGCATTGCTATACATATATCAGTGCCAAAAACCAGCTTGTCTGTTTATCTGAAGAATTTTCTTAAAGCCTGGTTCACACTGATGTAATTTCAGATGCAACTTGGGTTGCACTGAATCACCTGACAATGAAAATAATATTGCTTCCATCAATGCAGCGCACCTGCGATGTGACTTTGGGAAGGAGTCCTGTGCTACTTTGGTGCAAATTACAGTGCAGTTTGGCCTCATAGAATATGGAAACCACATCCAAAGCACAACCAAAGTCTCATCAAAGTTGCACTGCACAACTGCACTGCAAATCGAGTAAAAATCACATCACAGTAGTATGAATCAAGTCTGAGTGTGACTGATTGCTCCCAAGTAAGGTACCTAAGATAGGCCCTACAAGTGCACACTTTAGTGATCCATTATAAAGCAAAAGGTTCATTATGAAGGAGTTGCCAATGCACTGCAATGAGTGAAAAATGCACATTAACCATATTTTTGGAATGCATTGCACTCTACAGTACTCAAAATCTTTTGGATATCATGCATTCTGTCATGCAGCACCTACAATATAGAACTCACTACCATTCATTGTCCAAGAAGTGGAAGTTTTTTTCGAGAACACATGCAAGACACATCTATTCACTCATGCCTATAGCAACACCTGACAAATCTTTCTCTTCAATGACCCCAACATCTATTTAATAAGTGCTTTGAGTACCTAGGGAGAAAGGTGCTATAGATATATAATAATAATAATATATATATATTTTTTTTTGTAATTAAACTTTTCATTGATTTTCATTCACATTACAACAAGCAGTCGCAAAGGTAAACGTATAATAAAGAAAAAAATAAAGGTAAGAAACAAGCTCATCAAGAAGTACACAAGTATATAAAATGTCAAAACAGTGGTATGGCAAAATGGCAATCAATCACATGCAAGAAGAACAGAAAAAATCAATGTTAAGGGTGTGAATGATATTATGTTTTGTATTATCATTATAATACAATGCTTTGGGGTACATTGGGGTGTACTGACACCATTTCAATAAAACCTGCACAAGCATAAATGGACCCTAATGCAGGCCATAGATGGGTCGAAAATCGGCCGATTTTTCGGCCGAAAATAAAATCGGCCGATTTTCGGATCGTTAGTGGGCTAATTGTTCGGCAGTTTTTCGGTATTTTGGCAGATTTTTTTTTAGTTGGAAAAAGATCGGCCGATTTGCCGATTTTCGCGGCAATTATGGGCAAATCGGCCGATTTTTTTTACCGATAGTGACCTGCAAGAGGAAGACAAAAAGAAGAAGAAAAGAAGAAGAGGATGAAGAAGAAGAAGAGGAAGAGGAAGAAGAAGAGGATGAAGAAGAAGAGAAGAAGAGAGGATGAAGAAGAGGAAGGAGAAGAGGAAGAAGAAGAAGAGGATGAAGAAGAAGAAGAAGAGGAAGAAGAAGAAGAGGATGAAGAAGATGAAGAAGAGGATGAAGAGGATGAAGAAGAAGAGGATGAAGAAGAAGAGGATGAAGTAGAGGATGAAGAAGAGGATGAAGAAGAAGAGGAAGGAAGAGAGAGGAAGAAGAAGAAGAGGATGAAGAAGAAGAAGAGGATGAAGAAGAAGAAGTAGAGGAAGAAGAAGAAGAAGAGGATGAAGAAGAGGATTAAGAAAATGAAGAAGAGGATGAAGAAGATTAAGAAGAAGAAGAAGAAGAGGATGAAGAAGAAGAGGAAGAAGAGAAGAAGAAGAGATGAAGAAGATGAAGAAGAGGAAGAAGAAGAAAAGATGAAGAAGAAGAGGATGAAGAAGAAGATGAAGAAGAGGATGAAGAAGAGGATGAAGAGGATGAAGAAGAGGATGAAGAAGATGAAGAAGAGGATGAAGAAGAAGAAGAGGATGAAGAAGAAGAGGATGAAGAAGAAGAGGAAGAAGAAGAGGATGAAGAAGAAGAAGAGGATGAAGAAGACGAAGAAGAAGAGGAAGAGGATGAAGAAGGAGAGGAGAAGAGAGAAGAAGAGGATGAAGAAGAGGAAGAAGAAGATGAAGAAGAGGATGAAGAAGAGGAAGAAGAAGATGAAGAGGAGGATGAAGAAGAGGAAGTAGAAGAGGATAAAGAAGATGAAGAAGAAGAAGAAGAAGAAGAAGAGGAAGAAGATAAAGAAGAAGAAGCAGAAGAAGAAGAAGAAGAGGATGAAGAAGAATTCCAGTGCAGCAAAAAGTGTCCCTGCAGAGAGCTCCGCTATTTCTTTGACAGTGCTTTGACATTTATAGCAGTTGCAACAATGTATCTATTTGTTTCGGAATAAAAACATCTGTATCCGAATACAGATAGATACATTGTTGCAGACGCTATAAATGTCAAAGAACTGTCAAAGAAATAGCGGAGCTCTCTGCAGGGGCACTTTTTGCCGACTGTAGACGGGATGAAAATCGACCGATTTTTTTTACCGTTCCTGGTAACGTCGGCCGCTTGAACGACCAATTTTTTGTTTTTTTTAAAGAAAAATCAGCCGGTTTTCTCCCCATCTATGGCCTGCATAAGCCTTACACAGCCAAAATTTTGCAAGTGATTCTCGTAATTAAATTACTGATTAGCATCATGTGGTGTGTTGCTGTCCTAATATATGAGTCCAATGAAAAAAACCTTTCATGAAATTTTGATAACTAAAACATAAAGTGTAGCACCAAACATATGATAATGAAACTGAAATATATCAAAACAAATAAATATCCATGATATCAAGAAAAAATAGGGCAAAAAAATATATATTTAAAAAAAATATATATTTTAAAATAATGTCCATCCACCACCATAAAGTGCTGTTGCTTGCAGCAAAACAATTCAACTTAAAATTGCCATCACCGTCTCCCAGTGAATTGAAGACTCACCAGAAATGATGGCTGCCGCTACAACAGCATAGATGCCCATGTGTGTTTAAAGAAAAATTCCAATAGCATATGTATCTTGACATGAGACTCTGTTGGTCGGTGTCATTCTGTCTAGCTGGGTTCATAAGCTTTTTAGGGGAAAATTATGTAACATATCCATTCAAGAGGCGAAAGTCTACAGATCCGGACTGACATATCACACCTCAGCTTTATCTACTGTCAGCTCTGCCCTTTAACTCTGCTTCCATTGCTTCTCTTATCATTATAATACAATGCTTTGGGGTACATTGGGGTGTACTGACACCATTTCAATAAAACCTGCACAAGTGTAAATGGACCCTAAGCCTTAGGCCGGCCATACATGGGTCAATTTTCGAATGATTTTTCGTTAGAAAATCAGAGCTAAGAATAATCGGCCGACTTTCTTTCTGTTAGTGGGGCAATGGCATTGGCCTATTGTCATGGTTCCTCCCCATTTTGTTTATCGGGTATGCTGGAAAATTTATGAAAAATGAACGGTTTTCGAAATCATTGGTGGCACCATCAGATTACAGAACGAACGTTGTTTCCGATTTTCAATTGAAAAATCGTTCGGAATTCGACCCATGTATGGCCTGCTTTACACAGCCAAAATTTGTGATTCTAGTAATTAAATTACTGATTAGCATCATGTGGTGTTTTTCTGTCCTAATATACCGTATTTGTCGCTCCATAAGACGCACTTATTCCCCCCCAAAAAATGGGGGAAAATGTCTGTGTGTTTTATGGAGTGAATATGGAGCAGCCAGCCCGGTATTCCCGCCGCCGACGGCTTAGCTCTGCTGTGAAGAAGAACCCACTCTTCTGTCCTACCTGTTTCTCGATCCTGTTCCTCGATCCAGCAGTGTCCTGCTTCCATCGGCCGTCTTCTCTCCCTTCAGTGTGGGCACTCAGCTGTGACAGCTTGCAGCTTCACAGGCGGGTGCCCACTGTGCATGCGCAAGAAGCGCTGAGCTTTGTGAATGGCCCTGTAGTCTAGTGGGACCTGTCATGTGTCCCAGAAGACTACGGGGAGGGAGGGGGGAGGACAACTCCACGGAAGTGGAAGCGGGTACCTGTAAAATTCGCCCCCTCCCCAAAGGTCCGCAGTCTCCTGTACTATGCAGTCTAGTCATCTCCTGTACTATGTCTGCAGTCTCTGGTCATCTCCTGTCCTATGTCCTCAGTCTCTGGTCATCTCCTGTACTATGTCGGCAGCCTCTGATCATATCCTGTACTATGTCTACAGTCTCTTGTCATCTCCTGTACTATGTCTGCAGTCTCTGGTCATCTCCTGTACTATGACTGCAGTCTTTGGTCATCTCCTGTACTATGTCGGCAGCCTCTGATCATATCCTGTACTATGTCTACAGTCTCTTGTCATCTCCTGTACTATGACTGCAGTCTTTGGTCATCTCCTGTACTATGTCCGCAGTCTCTGGTCATCTCCTGTACTATGTCCGCAGTCTCTGGTCATCTCCTGTACCATGTCCGCAGTCTTTGGTCATCTCCTGTACTATGTCCGCAGTCTCTGGTCATCTCCTGTACCATGTCCGCAGTCTTTGGTCATCTCCTGTACTAGGTCCGCAGTCTCTGGTCATCTCCTGTACCATGTCCGCAGTCTTTTGGTCATCTCCTGTACTAGGTCCGCAGCCTCTGGTCATCTCCTGTACTATGTCCGCAGTCTCTGGTCATCTCCTGTACTATGTCCGCAGTCTCTGGTCATCTCCTGTACCATGTCCGCAGTCTTTGGTCATCTCCTGTACTAGGTCCGCAGTCTCTGGTCATCTCCTGTACTAAGTCTGCAGTCTCTGGTCATCTCCTGTACTGTGTCTGCAGTCTCTGGTTATCTCTTGTACTATGTCCGCAGTCTCTCGTCATCTCCTGTACTATATCTGCAGTCTCTGGTCATCTCATGTACTATGTCCGCAGTCTCTTGTCATCTCCTGTACTATGTCCGCAGTCTCTTGTCATCTCCTGTACTATGTCCGCAGTCTCTGGTCATTTCCTGTACTATGTCAGCAGTCTCTGGTCATCTCCTGTACTATGTCCGCAGTCTCTGGTCATTTCCTGTACTGTGTCCGCAGTCTCTGGTCATCTCCTGTACTGTGTCCGCAGTCTCTGGTCATCTCCTGTACTATATCTGCAGTCTCTGGTCATCTCATGTACTATGTCCACAGTCTCTTGTCATCTCCTGTACTATGTCCGCAGTCTCTTGTCATCTCCTGTACTATGTCCGCAGTCTCTTGTCATCTCCTGTACTATGTCCGCAGTCTCTGGTCATCTCCTGTACTATGTCTGCAGTCCCTGGTCATCTCCTGTACTGTGTCCGCAGTCTCTGGTCATCTCCTGTACTGTGTCCGCAGTCTCTGGTCATCTCCTGTACTATGTCTGCAGTCTCTGGTCATCTCCTGTACTATGTCTGCAGTCTCTGGTCATCTCCTGTACTATGTCTGCAGTCTCTTGTCATTTCCTGTACTAAGACAGCAGTCTCTGGTCATCTCCTGTACTATGTCTGCAGTCTTTGGTCATCTCCTGTACTGTGTCCGCAGTCTCTGGTCATCTCCTGTACTGTGTCCGCAGTCTCTGGTCATCTCCTGTACTATGTCTGCAGTCTCTGGTCATCTCTTGTACTATGTCCGCAGTCTCTGGTCATCTCTTGTGCTATGTCTGCAGTCTCTGGTCATCTCCTGTACTATGTCCGCAGTCTCTGGTCATCTCCTGTACAATGTCTGCAGTCCATTGGTTCAGAATTTTTTTTTCTTGTTTTCCTCCTCTAAAATCTAGGTGCGTCTTATGGTCAGGTGCGTCTTATGGAGCAAAAAATACGGGTATGAGTCTAATGAAAAAAACCTTTCATGAAATGTTGATAGACATTTGCTGGATACTCCTGTATCCACCAAATCCAGCTAACTACATTTTGTCTCTGAAACACCAATGGCTTGTTTCGTCTTTCCCCGTCAGATTTCAGGATATTTCACATTATTGCTGCCAGCTATATGAATGGCTGCACGTGGATAAGGAAGGATTTGTGACTTTATCTCTATCTTAGCGATTGTTTGACAGATGTGAAGAATTAATATCCAAGCAGATTCTTTTTGAACATCTCTGCAAGGAAGCAGATTGCTTTGGCAACTTCCCCTGATCCTCTATTAATTTAAGTCAGCTGTACTGCAATGTGACATAGTGGAGATGACACTGCGTGCTAAGCTAGTGTGGGGAAATAAAAAATCCCAAAATAAGTAAAAGAGCATTTTTTACTCCAGCAGAAGGAATAACAGATTTCTCCTGTGACACAGGCATGCCTCATCAGACATCACAAGTGACATCTATGACAGCCTACTCGTTCTGGAACTTTGCCTTTAAGAAGCATTATTCTGGCTGCAGAATGAATCAACCTTCTACAATCTGTTTGTAAATCTCCCACAATAAACTGTTAAAGGGAGAGTTATGTATTTTCCAAATATTTCTTATTAGAAGGCAGCTGTTGTCAAACAGGTGAATTCTCAGTGAAATGCTTATATATAGAAACAGTTTTAGCTACCAAATAATTTGTATGGAAATGCTGAACAATGCAACAGATATGAGCATAGCTTGTGATTTCTGAGCATGGACTGGGCCATGCAGAGTAAAACTCAATCCCAGAAAAATGTTATTTTAGTTCTGAATTGCATGGAAGGGTAGATTTCATTGTGATGACATCCAAGGATCTCTGTGTTTTGAAAAGAGAGCATTAACATGCTGTGTTACAATAGCCCTTTCAAATAAATGAGCAGCAAATGCACCAAAATGTTTAAAAACATTGGACATACACTATTTTATGTAACACACAGTAAAGCACTACTATACATTGCAGTACACTGCAATGTATGTGTATTATCTTAGTGAGTTGGGCTGCCATTGAAAATGAACAGCACTGCAATGCTTCGATGCAAGCTTTAAGATGTGTAGCACCCCTCTAGTTAGCCAGGGGGAGCTAGCTAAGTTTTTTTTAGTTAGAGGCTGGATAGCAGCCTGCTATGAGTCAACCTGAGATGAGTCAGCCAGGTAACTTTAGGTCAGGGCTGAGGAGTCTGCAGGTCAGTTCCCTGATACCTCCCCCTGCTCTAGAAGCTTGAGAAGTTTATAGAAGGCAGTGGGGAGGGGGAAAGGCTGATCTGCATACTCAGGGGACTCTGACCAATCCCCATGCAGGAGGCTTGGCATGAGGTCAGGGCAGCTCTTAAGTATGGGAGAGCCTGATAAGGAAGTAATCAGTGTCAGGTGAAAGATGATGTGAGAAGGCTGGAATGCGGAGCCTGGGAGGGGACCAAGGGAGGGGACTACCTGCAGGCAGGAGCTGGGAAGGAGGCTCTATCAGCCTCAACCATCCCCTGAGAGAGACAGCCTGGGAAGCAGGGAAGGAGCCAGCCTAGCATAAGGTCTGAAGGTAGCCACCAACCTACAGGAGAGGACTGAATGAGTGACTGAGTGACTAATCCTGCACCCCATGAGCCGAATAAGAGGAGAGGGCAGTCAGGTGGCAAACCCAACTAGCTCCTCATCTGGGGCTGCTTTACTAAAGTAGCAACTTCTGGGTCCCTTGACCAGGGATTCCCTCAGGCAGCTGGGTGGATTCATCTGGGGTCTGAGGAGGTACACCCGAAGGGCTGGAGAGCTCTTCAATGAAAGACTGTTTGTCTATGGACTTGTACATAGTTGCTAAGGAGATTTGTCCTCAGGCTCACAGTTCCTTGGGCATCCTATACACCCCTTAACCCACTCCAAGCTCAATACCCCGCAATAAAATCACAAAAGAACAAGCTCAAGGACTGTTTACTGTCTCCAGAATGTGTAAGAAAATGTGTGTTGCCTGGCTGTGCAGAACTATAGGGGGACCCAAAACTCAGTGACTCCTAAGGGGGTAGTGCTACAGATGCAATATTGTGAAATGGCCTTTGAACATTGTTGACCAAGCTAACATTTTCAGAAAGTGGCTGGTGGTGGCATTCCCCCTTCTTATCACTTGGCATATGTTTAAAGACAAGTTTGTTTTAGAAGTGATCTGCCAGTGCCTTGTGTTATAATAGCTATTATAACAGGTCTGCGACTAAAAAGCTGTTTGATTATTTTCATCTAATGTCCATGTATTTTGGTGTGCTGAAAACAAATAAAATATTGAAAAAACTCCTAGACGTCATGATTTGCCACAAAATGCAAAATTGTCTTCACATTTATCAAATTTTTTTAATTTTTGGTATTTTTTTTAGATTATGGGTTTTTAACCAAATTTAAAGTCCAAATTACTATTAATTAATTCACATAAGTGCATTTAAGTTATAAAATGCCAAAAAAAACCTTAAAGGGGTTGTCCGAGTTATGTAAAAAAAATATAGCACTGTAAATCTGATGGTCAGCAATATATACATAAGCTAAGCAAGTTTTAGGGAAAAAAAATTCTATTTTCTCATTTCCCTAGTTCTCTTCTGGACCTTTGTTGTGCAAAGGGTTGAATACAAGTGCTGCTCTGAGTGACATGTCTGACTACTGGGATACTCAGCAGCATGCTGTATGTGTAAGCCTCAGCCCTGAGTCTATGCTTCTAATGGAAGAAGGGTTAATCTTCCCTGAAGAATCCAGTGGGAGGGAGACAGAGGGCAGATAGCAGCAGCTCTGGTCAGTGCAGGGGGGCGTGGCCAGCACTGTGACGTCTAGTGTACAGACACAGAGCTGCTCTCTCCTGCAGTCCACACTTGTGCATGAATCATCATCAGGTTCTTGGTTCTAGGCTGTTCACAGTTTTTCATCGCAGTTCGTGTTAGCTCGTCATTCTTCAACCGTTATATTTTGGCTCCGCGAAAGTGTATTAATTCGCCAGACAGTTTCTGTTTCATCTGTGGTGAATATACAGTGTTGAAGCAACAGCAGAATATTACAGGCTTTGTGAAAAAAGTATACTTTGCATACTTTGGACTAAAAATTGGAGATCAAGATAAAGTTTGGGCGCCTCATAAAGTGTGCAAATGGTGTTTTGAGGACCTCTGAAACTGGTTCAAGAGTAAGAAAAAATCTTTCCGTTATGGGATTCCTATGGTATGGCGAGAGCAAAAGAACCATAGTGACAACTGTTACTTTTGTTCATGCGATGTGAAAGGGTTTAATTCCAAATGGAAGCATTCCATTTCATACCCAATCTTCACTCAGCAATCCGTCCCATCCCCCATGGCACAGATATACCAGTACCCAAGCCCCCTGCTACCTTGGAAGAGATACCTAGCTCCGATGAAGGTGAAGTCATACCTGAACCAGATGACGAATCAAGTTCTGACTTTGAAATTGTTTTCTCAGGAGGAGATGAATGATTTGGTAAGAAACTTGAATCTTCCCAAAGATGCCGCTGAGTTACTTGGATCAAGGCTGAAAAGCAGGAATTTATTGTTGCCAGGAGTGTCATCTTCATGGTTCAGACATCGTGAAAAGGAATTCGTTCCTTACTTCGCCCAGGAAGACAAGTTGGTTTATTGCATCGATGTCCAAGGTCTGATGGGTCAATTTAAAATCCAATATGATTCAGAGCAATGGCGTCTTTTTATAGATTCTTCAAAAAGAAGTCTCAAAGCAGTTTTACTCCACAACGGTGGTTTTTACGCTTCCATACCTGTAGGTCATTCCGTACACTTGAAGGAAACCTATGAGAACTTGGAATTGGTTCTTCGTAAACTTAAATATGAAGACCATGGTTGGCAAGTGTGTGGGGACTTGAAGGTCTTGTGCATGCTGCTCGGGCAACAAGCTGGGTATATTAAATACCCTTGTTTTCTGTGTCTCTGGGACAGTCGAGACCAACAAAATCACTGGACCAAGAAGAGTTGGCAGCCGAGGGTGCTAACAGTCGTTGAAAAAAATGTCCTCCGAGAAACTTTGGTACCTTCCCATAAAGTTCTTCTACCACCTCTCCAC